CAGACGTAATAGGTTTATTCTATTGTCCCAGTCATACTGTGACAACACCTTTTAGATTGAAAAATATCCCTCACTGTAAACTTAGATGTGGCCTTGAAAAGCTACTGTAGCTTTCTATTTTTAGTAGAAAGCTATCTAAATTTCTAGTAATAGTCATCATGGAAAAGTCCTCATCTGCGTGAGTACTTGTGAAGATAATTGTATATATATATATATATATATAATATATATGTTTCCTCTGCATAACACGCACTTCTTAAGTCTATCAGGCATTAAAAATGCAAGGAAATCCCCTGCTGCACAAAGTAATTAATGATTTTAGAGTTGGGATCCCAGAATCCTGCTCTTCCTTTCTTCTCCCATCTCCCACAAAGTGACCCTCTTCCAAATCTTGGATTCTCTGGCAATATAAGTTGAAATAACTGGTTGAAGGCAAATAGCAGAGAAACGAAGAATATCAGTCTTTACTCTGCCATTTGTTTTTTTTTTTCCTATTTAAAATATTTTGCAATAAAGGCAGCCATTCCCAGTGGTCCAGAGCAAAGTCCAAGATGTGAGACTTCCGCACACACACCATCCACGTCATCCAGATCTCACGTCTCACTCTGAACCTCTGTGATGCTCAATTTGGGGAAGGGGCTAATCCTTTGTGTATCTCACTTTCCACATCATGGGAAGGACAACGGCTCTGCCGTCCATTCAAGTCTTTTGTTAAGACTACTACATAATACAAGTAGTTATTACCTCATAATAATAAAAATATAATATTGAGTACACATGAAAAATAAAGTGATAGCCACTTTTTCTCCCCTCTTCCATGGGATAGGAGTAACAATAATATCTTTTGCTCAATGCTGTAGTACAACAAACCAATATGATCAGGAATGTACTGTCATTAGAACATATGCAAATATATTATATTGCTATCACTTATAGGGTACATGTGCCTCCTCTTGCTCTATCCCCAAAATTAGTTTTATTTTCTACTTCTTGCTTACTTCAAGGTCTTTGTGCTATCACAATTAATGAGATCTCCTATAAATCAGTCATAAGTAATGATTTTGAATTATAGCCAGTTCAAAATGAATTTACAACCTACAGCAAACACTTGGCACCTCGCACTGAATCAAATAGACTATTATCAACAAAAGATTTTCTACTTTAATATTCAAGTTATGTTACTTTACATCAAAAGCCATGCTGCAACATCTCTTTCATACAACATTTTTATTACATCAAAAGGAAATCAATTTAAGGGTATGCACTCTTCGTTACAATGCCCTCTGATAGCATTTACTCACAAATGAATTTGTGTGGGTTGTGAAGTGAATGGAATCTTATGCTTTTGTCCTTGTCCCAGAGGATATCTTGACTTTGTCAATGGGCCTTTCTGCCATCTTGATTCATGCTTCAGCAGCCTGAGAGCCCAGGGAGAGACACAGGGACGCGTTGGCTAATGAGGTTGCTTTATTTAGCACTGTGTCTTTGCTGGCTCAGCACAGGCTGTGCCTAGACATTAGAAGTAGTTCGGAAGAGGTGAGAGAAAGATGAATTAATTCAGTTAACCAACCACTCCATCCTTCACACACATACGTCTTCAGTGGTCCTCCTAAATCATGGGGCATCAAGAATGCGGACCCCATTCTCAACCTTAACTGAGACTGGAAATTGCACTTGGCCATTGGTATGACTTTGTTATTTCACTAACTTCATGAGCATCTGTTTCTTCCTCTGGGACTCTCCTGCCACAGCAAAGAATTTCCTTGAATCTGACAGGAGATTCTCCAGAGATCCATCAATTATTTCCTAGAAATTTTCCCCAAAGTTCGGTGCTCTGCC